CTTTGTAAACGTTTACATTACATGAAGTAACAGAAGACATAATTTTTATGTAAATAGGGAGAAAATAAAAGGAGAACTTTTCAAGTATTACAGTGGCTATCAACTAATTTTTTTCAGGTCTTTTTGCAGTGAGTCTGAATACTAGTTTAGGAGGGTAAGTTTCCCCCACTCAATCCAGATACATGAAGTGCAAAGTCCCATGAAACTCAGTAAACTGAAATAACCTTTTCCTCCAAACTCCTTCCCCGAAATTCTTGAATAGTCGCCTGTGGTTGAACTGGAATGCACTTAGAAAGTTTTGAATTAAGTGCAGCTAGCCCAAAAGACAGTTTGGCTTCCTACAGAGGTGTAAAGGATAAAAAAGGGATTGTGGTGGACAGTGCATTGTTATTGTGAATTATGCAGCGAGCTGAAGGGAGACTGGAATAGTCATCAAAGCTCCTAAGAACTGCTCTCCTCCAGATGAGCTAATAGAGCAGCCGCGAGCTCTGCGGTTAGCTGAAATCAGATTTAACACTGCTGTAAAATACATTTGCTGTATTTGACTTCTTTCTAAAGTTAGAGCGATGATTCTGCCGACCCTGCTGTCAGTCACAGTTCCATTTAACTCCGTGATGTTATCTGCACCATGAACGCAAAGTTCTACCTAAAGCACCCAGGACGTGCTATACCTTTCGCAAAGATCTATGTGGTTTTAGATATTCCAAGAAGTCAGAAAGCACTGATCTGAAATCTATGAAACCATTCACTGGGTTTTCAAATATCACCATGTAAGTACCACTCAGAAGGAAGGAGCCATTGTGCACCACTGTTAGGTTAAGAGGCTGACATGACACGCGACTGTAAAAGCAGCTAGCCCTGAGAAGAAAGACCTTGGAGGTCCTCTCCAGCCCCGTGTAATGGAAAGCTGACACTGGAGTTATGAGAGGCTTACCACTGTAAAGGATCAGCATCTCATTAATTTGTTCTGTCACTTGACGATGTATCATTTTATGTCCCCATAAATATCTCAGGTACACTGCTAATATTAATTATTGATGGGATGCAGAAGTATCGACTCCCATCGGATGCAATTAATAACACATGTCAAACTGGGAGACAATAAATTTATGTTCTTTGGAAACCAGTTAGCATCAGATGCTTATATTTTCCATTATGAAGAACTGATTTATAATTGTATTTTTTTTCATTATACTTTTTGAGGAGAAAAAGGAATTGTATACCTTAAGGCTGTATTGTCTTCAATAATTTGAAATAACAGTGAGATGCAACACTTAGAAGACAGTTTGCACAGTTTATGGTGCCTCTAGACATCCGTTGGACCTTTTCACACAGGTAAAGGCTCACCCTGAATAGTCCAGTTTTCCACATCTCGACAGGAGCCCACACCATCTGGCAGGCTTTGGCTAAGTTGGGGTTGTGAACAGTAGAGTAGGTGTGAGCAGAAACATAAACATGGGCTAAAAACCGAGGAATCACAAGTTACATCTCCCTGACAGCCAGGGCTGTAAGAATATGGTCCATTGAAGCCAAGAGTCCAGTTAAGTGGGCTGGGAGCAGGAGCTAACTGCAAGAGCACAGGAGTCTCAGCTATCATACTGAGATTTAACTGTAACTCTGACCCATGAGAATGAGTAACAAAAGTCTCATTGACTTCAACTAGAGGAGGCTTGGATCTATTTACTGTAACTGAGTTGACTCTCAGAAAAATAATTAATTCCTTGTCATGTCTCACGTGTATTGATTTTTGTAATTACAATGGAATTGGAGGCAAGGGTGAGTGAGGGGAAGGAAATACACTTGATTTATATTTAATCTGATGCACAAGCTGTTGAGGACAAAGAAATTGAGCTGGAATGACCATGCGCATCCTTGACGCACTCCTCTGTGCTTCGATAACAAGTGCTAGAAGCACACTGTAGTGGGGAATCTGAAATCACCTACTCCTCTAACGTACAGAATTCAGTACTGCGCTGTCAAGAGCCGTGTGTCTGCAGCAGCCTCCACAGCACGAAGAAGAGACGGCCAAGGGGAAGAAGATAAGGACAGGACAAGCTTAATGCGTATCAATGACTAAAAGAGGAGACAAAGAATTAGAATGGGGGAACAAAGAAATAGAAGTTGTTGCTGATAATAAAGCTGCCAGGAGATAACGTAAGAAAAAAAAAAGAAGTGAGAGAAAAGAAAACACATATGGCCTTGCTTGGTAATGATGCTGTTAGGAATAAGATCGCAGCAGGAGACCACTTGAACTTTTTCTCCACTTTCACTAAAACACAAGTTAGAATTTTTTTCACCTAGAATCAGTCAGTATTTGACTTCTTAATTAGGTGACAGTCTCCTTTTCTAAGCATGTTTCTGGGAGTGGTTGGCCTGTTTCCACACACACACATACAGATTTGATGATAATACTCAATTTGTAGTTTCAACAGCATCAGGGGTCAGTTTTTCCTAAAGATACCCTCCCTACTTACACAGGAACAGTATGACACCTTGGGCCCATCAAAACCATTGCCTATTCTGATTTCTGCAGGACCACAAGAAGCTGAAGAATGATTTCCAATCTTCTGCCTAACAGTGTCAGTTCAGGAAGTAAAGTCTCCAAGTCTTACACGAGGAAAACAGCTTTTTGTTACACAATAGCCCTGCAAGTGAAAGCTGCAAAACAGTCTCACATCCAAACTGTAGAAGGCAATTATATACAAGGCGGGTAGGCAGGAGTTTAAGGGTGTAAATCAGTTCTGAGCGAAGTACTTCCCTCGAAACACATAATATTTTAAACAAAAAGCCAGCCCTCTGCCTCCAGTACAGGAAACTGATTTGCATCCAGTTTGTGCAGTTTCTAAACGCTGCTGTCTAAAACATCAGCGCTCCGAGGCAGATTTTCCTCTGCTGACCTACACACCCCGCAACAGAGGAAGCTACAAACCGAAATCTCACTGGTGTCTGTCGGCAATACTTTGCGAAACAGTATTCATCCTGGCTGTGGCAGAGCTCTGCGCAGAGTCACAACACAACAAACCGTGAGTCACTGATAAATAACCAAACGACAGTGGCTGATGATGGCAAATCTGTCTCCAATGGAATTATCAGTAAAAATGCTAAAAATTTTTTCCCTCTTAATATATTAAAGTGTTTGTTTAGGGGTTGAGTTCATAATGCCAGAACCCCCTTTTAATACAGCTGCCATAAATTTTAGTGGGTGTTTGAATACCGAAGCGTGAGTGGCTGGCCTGTTAAAAACGCTGCCCCTAGAAAGGCTGCTGTTTGCATAAAATATATGAGTGATTCTCGGCTGGGAATTCGTTTGATCTATTTTATATCATACACCCTGTCACCAAGGAAGCAAATATGGACATGAAATATGAACATGAAGTAAAACATAAAAAGAGACTTAATAAAAGGAGTAATTACGTTTTGCCTAAATCCTCTCACGCCAGGAAGAGGCACATACCATCATAAATTCAGTGAAGTCTGCCCATTTCAGCGTGTGGGGAAGGAGAAAAAAGCTGCAGCCAGGCCCGCAAAGCACATTACTGCAGAGGGCTTTCTCAGGAGATTTCTCGGCGAGCACTGACTGAGGAGCGCTGATTGCTGCGGCGCTTTAACCGATGGCCAGATGATGCAGGAGAAGACAAGGGATCCGGAGCTGCTCTGTGCCGTGATCTAACGCTTGGCACATGGACAGCTGATGGAAAAGCCTAATGCTACTGGTCCAGCACAATCTTTCAAAATGCAGCCCAAGCCCTCAGTGACAAATCTGCAGTGCTTACACGCTGCTTCTCAGTGAATCAATAAATCTAAGAGAAGTATTCAAGTGCTCAAGTCTTTGTGAAAACCTGGTGTTAGAAGTACTAACAGATTATTCTTTGAAATGCTTTCGGTATTTAAATTCCTTTGGTTTTAGCTCATGTGCCTGAGAAGTTCATGATCCTAACAACATGAAATATAATATTATACAAAGTCTTTACACCCAAACATCCACAACACCAAAAGGTTCCAGCTTATTTATAAACGTGGTTTTAAAAAGATGAACAGAAAGTGAGAAATGCAAATATTTTTATTTTTCCAAACTATTGTAAACGGCTAGCTCTTCAGACCCTTGGCTAATTTATTCTCTGTATATTTCACAGAAATGACATGACAACACTGATTTGCTGACACCCAGTGCTAGACTTCAAGCTGTAACACAAGCACAGAAACATTAGGACTGTGGACACAGGCAAGAAATGAAAAGTGAAGCCTGGAACACACACCTGAGTGAGTGCAGACCAAAGGAAAGCAGACATGGCACAATGGGCTGTGAAGAATCACACTCGGATATGAACTCTGCTGAAAACAAGTCTCCCTCAGTGCAGAAATCTGATTATATAGTTACCCAGCTCTTCCTACAGGAAAATTGTGTACAAGTGGAGGACTCTGAACCTCCTCTACTGAAGTCAATGGCAAAACTACCACCACATGTGTTTGCCTGCAATCTTTAAGATGAAAAACCGCATTTCACAATATTACATGTAGATGCAGTGCAGAAAATGAATAGTGGAAAGCCAGCAAGCAATGTCAGATATTAAGCCCTAATATTTTGAAAATGCTCATTGTTTTCCACAGAAATATATCCTCATCAATTATCCCAAATATCTGCAGCAAGCATGCTAAAAAGATATCTCTTTCTTTTCAACGTAAACTGTGTTTTGGTTCTGTACTGCTGAAGCACAGCAAAGCAGAGGGCACACTCTGCTGGTCAGAAGCACCATTTACACTGAAAGCTTTTTAACAATATGAGTAGTAAAAAATAAACCCCATTATATGACATCTGGACTTGAAGTGGTGCTCCATACTAGGCTGCCACTTGAATTTTTCCATCCTGAATATTAGAGACAATGGCTATGATGCTATAAATGGAGTTTCTCATGTTTAAATACCAGCCTACCTGCTGTAAGAACACTTCCTTTCCTGAAGGATATTTTTTAGCTGTATAACACTGTTCAAAAACTCTTTACCTTAGGCTTTTCATCCAGTATTTGCTGACGAATCTCCTTGTGCTTTTCTACAAGTTTCTCCTGTCTTTTACTCTGAGCATCTTCTAGCTGTAAGAAAATAACAGACCATCTTTTTTTCAGAGGTTGCACATCCTCGCTTTTCCACCTCTTCCCCAAAGAATATTTCATCCATCAAAATTAAAATGTTATCATCAAAATTCTGAATAAGCCTAACATAAACTTACATGCCATTGTCACAAGCATGCCTGAGCTGTAACAGTTGTGCACGGACAATATATCTCAGGTTTCACACGTGGGATTTAGAATCAGAAATGTCTAAAGAAGTTACTGTAGACCTTTAATGCTACTAAAAGCATAATACATTTTTAAAAAACATTATTTTGCTTTAGCTTCTATTGTATGACTTGTGCGAGGCGGACCCTGTTCCCAGAAGAGGATTTGCATCCTAGAGTCCTAAATAAACATGCTGACAAGTTTTGGGCCTTAGTTAATAAAGCGCTCAGACATGTGTCTGACTCCAACAGGAGTTAAGCATGCTTAGTTTGCTAATTCTTCAGGTTGCTTCCTGAATCAAGGCCTGTGTGAGCAGAAATGGACCACCTTTGGAACTGACCTATCTCTGCACTGAAATTAAGAGAAAATTCAGTAGCGGCGTATGTTTCACAGTGATTTTGCACATCAAAACACTGTGGTGCCCGCTTTCAGCTAGGCGTAAGCCACCTATGGCTTCAGAAAAGCCAACACCTCCAAGGAAATTCTCTGACTTGTATTCACAGAGCTCACAGAATGTTTTTTTGCCTTTCAGTAATCGTATGAACGCAATTAATGTTAAAATATACTCTGCAATTAAATGTTTATTGACTTTCAGAGTTCCTTATGCAATCTTTGCATTCATGAGACAGAAAACCAATTAAAAAAATTGGTACCTTTTCCATAAATAAACAGAGGATATTCAAAGATGAAATCACACCTGTATTAAAATCTACCCCTCTTAGCACCATCCCCCAAACACTGACTAAGAATTGATCAAGATCTGTCTGAAATTCCAGTTTTCCTTTACCTGGAATGTGAAAAGAAGTCTATACTGTATCTGTTAAAAATCAGCACTTGCAGAATCTTTATACCAGAGCTTAGAATCTGTAGTTTAATATGATCTAAAACACGAAAGCTGACATTTTATGCCCCAAAATGAAATTAAACATATGACCTGACATACCCGTTTTATGTATTGCACCACCTCCTGGATATACGATCGAATCATTTCGGTCTTCTCTCTGGGGAGAAGCAATCAACAAGTTATTGCAGTCAGTAAGATCACGCCAATATATTTTAATCCACCACAACTCCTTCTAAAATAAGTAAGGTGATGTTTTCAGTGTATGGATGTGCCTACCAAATTTTTACACACTTCCTGAATGTACCTTTCCTAGCAGGCTGCATCTTTATTGTATGAAGGGCTCGGGATTCCCCCATGACCGACCACAACAGAGCCCCTGCTCTTTCAAAACAGTCTTTTCCCACAGGGTACTGCCGCCTCACCTTGACCTTAAACCCAAATGTCAGTCTAGGAGAGCACACGATCATCAGTAGAGGCACACTGCCACGTCGTGGCACGTTATGTAGTAGAGAAACCGTCTCTGTTGGTGAGCAGATACTGCTGGTGACACCTCGGAGACCATGGCAAAGTGTCCTCAAAGAGTAAGGCAGACTCAGCCTTGCTCCCTGACTTTGCTGTGTAAACCACTCAAAGCTCAACTCGGAGGAATTACTGTGTTATTAGGTAACCATTGGTCAAAGGCTTAAGATGGGATACCCCAAAGGGATAAATGCACAGAAAATAACAATCTGTGGACACTTGAGTTGACCAGATTCAGGACAGTGCTCTAAAACCTCCCCGCCTAGGTTAAGAACAGTGATTTGCCATTCAAATGGCACTAAAATCTGATGGTTTTAGGTAGTCTCACAAGCCCTGGGTGCGTGCAGGAATTAGAAAAATTAAGTAGAATTAGTATGTGGCAATATCTTTGTGTCATATTCTTCCCCAAAATTGTTTAAAAGCTTTAAAAATACAACCGTCTGGCCCAGGTGACTTAAATGGGATTCACCAGAAGGTCTCGCTACTCTGTCCTACTGTGAGAGTGAGGACAAACTGTGTCACTTGACAGAGGAAAGCTGAGTTTCCCATGTAGTTCCCATCTCACCTTTCCCATGGGCTCTTTAGAAAGCCTGGGGAAGGAAAGCCCATAGGGAAAAAAACAGGAAAAAAATAAAAGGAGAACAAAGATGAATTTTTACTTCTCTGTTTCTGAGCATTTCTCATTAGTGTCTCATTAACCTCTTAGCAAATCATTTCCTGTTGCAATTGATTTTTACTGCCATAACATTTTTGTAATGATTGACTATTTTTTCCTGGTATGACTTCCACGCCCTCTGACCAGCTCTAATCTTATTAAATATTTCTCCTTTTTTTTCATGATCAATTATTCTCATATTATCTTTTTACTAAGACATTTATTAAAATTCTGTAAGATCGATTGCTAAATTATCTGATGCAGTTCATTGTGTGTGACCTTATTTCAGTGTTACCAAATACAGAGATTCTATGTTGAAAAGCTGTAAAATCTGTATAAACCTTTTTACCTGCAGAAAACCCAACATTATTGCATCTTTGTTACATGGCAAACCCCAGATATTCTGGATTTTTCTTTTTTTTGTTCCTCTTGTATTTTTTAATTGTCCTTAAATGTTACCAAAATAAAGACTGGCAACAAGAATATCCCAGCAAACAGATCAAGATTAAAATGCTCCATTTTCTTTTTGAGCTGCTTGCCAAAACAAATGAAGGAGGACAAACAAACCTAGATACTGTGCCCTTGGGAAGAATATAATCAACTTGCACAACTACAGTTTGTATTGTCTGGCGGTGCGTAACTGAAAATAATATTCCTGCCCCTGTTCACAGAAACTGTACCCTTAGAGCTCTGCTTTCCTCCCTCTTCCACCTGAAATAACTGGTCCCTGTGTAACACTGTCACTGGAGGAGAATCAGTAGCAAACCTTCCAGTGTGTTGCTGGTATTTGTTCTGAAGACCAGCTTTAACAGAATTAAGAAGAAAAGATAACTCACACATAAAAACCTACGTTATGGTGAAATCAAACCCTGCAGGAACTGAAGCCACTGTGTCAATTCATACTCAGAGGAAGAGTGTCTGAATGAACATGACTGTCATGCTGCTCACAGCCATGTCCCTCTACCACACACCAGCACCTCTGCAGCTGACCCAGACTCCAAACGCTCGCAGAGCAGGAGATTACATCAGTCCCAGGAAATTAAAGTAGCATCAGTGGAAGCAGGGAGGGCTCCACTGCTCTGGGGAGGTATTACAGCCTGACTAAAAGCTGCCTTGTATTGAGGGTTAAGATGTCTCTTTGGTTTTCCAGTTGTGAAGAAGCTTGTATCTCCTCATAGCTTGTAAGGATACGGATCTAGGGATATACTTACTCTTCCATTTGGTTTTTATCCTTGGACTTTGCTTCTGTGATCTTCTCCTGCCTCTTCTTGTCCATTTTCTTCTTCAATTCTTTCTTTTCCCTAAAGCATAAATAAACAAAGGCAAGTTCAAAAGGGATCTAGCCAAAACCCACCCGGAGTAGTAATCAATCATAAGGGGAATGGCACCTTACTTTTCACACGTCTCTTTCAGTTTCTTTAGCTGGCTGTTCTGACACTCCTCTGCTACATCAGTCAACTTCTGAATAAGCTAAAAAAAAAAAAAATCCCAAGAAACAAAAATATGTATTTTCAGCTAAACATCACACATGCATCTAAGTTACCTCAAAAGTTTGTAGCCAACACGAAAGGGTTACACCATTCCCCGATTAATTACCAGTGATCGAAAGGCAGTAAACATTCTTATCGCTGTAAGTGCCTTCTTAACTTTCAGAGTCCAGCCAGACCTGTGTATGTCCAGCTTACACTGAAGCTACACTTCTCTGTACATCAAGGGGATACAGTTTCAGAATATTAAATGTAAACCCAAAATATATTTTGCATACTTTACCTTGCTAGGACTAAAAATTCCTGTGACAATGCATAAATGGTCACAAACTGAATTTACACAATACAAATTACAAACTGAATTCCGGTGTCACTGAATAGTCAGGATTTTATGCGAGTGCTGAAAACGTTCCTCTTGCATTATTACAAGGAACAGCTGGGATTTCAGGGTGGTGAGGTGGATATTGAGAATCCATGCATGATAGCCAAGAAAGCTAATTATAGCTAAGCATAGCCTACATTGTGATGACAGAATGATGGATTCAAAAAATCCGAGTCGTTGGTTTGAAATCTGCTGCGCGGCGCTGGGTCCGATCTCGTTCGGCTTGAAACTGCTAACGAAAAGCGTGCTCGTGGTGGTGATGCTGACGGGAGGGGACACATGGACAGGGCTCGTGAACCAAGTCCAATCAATGGTGAATTAAAGCGGGAAATGGGACCGTTTTCATTTGATCATCCCATCTAGTTTAAGACTTATTCTGTAAAATAATCCTCGGGATGATGAACCAGAGAATGTATAATAATGCCTAGCTAGCCTGATTCAACTTTTCATTCCTTAGATAAAAGAAGACAGATACCAGTGATAGCCTGTCCTCTAAAAGAAAGACATCAGAAAGAATGGCTTGGCTGCAAAGCAGATTTTATTCAGAATATTAACTCCTGCGCAGCTCAGAGGGAAAAGTGTCTGAAGGTCTTGTGCTAAAATATGAATTTATCCTGATACCGCCTAATTGAACAATGCTGAAAGCGTAAATTTGCTTTAAGAAACGCCATTTCCCATTTTGAAAGGAGAAATGAGTTAGCTTACAATATAAACTCTACTATGTGGGTGCAAAATGGTTTGTTTTCATAAAAATTAAAATCCCCAAGATACAGCCAACAACTGTTATTTGACTGTGGGCTCTCCCCTGGCAGCAGAGGTAAGTGCTGCCACACACCCACACCAGAGCAGCTCCTGTTGGGTAATGCTGACATGATTCACATACAGCTGGTGATAAACAGGGCACTGCTTGGAAACTGCAGCACCATGCTATGATCCACGGGAATGAATTTGTGAAAAGGTTCTGAGCAATGTCCATGCATATCACTCCTCTGACCTGCTCTTCTTGGATGGCAGGGCAGAGTAGACAAACCACTTCATCCAACCGTAATGAGGCAAAACATCGTATAATAGAAAAAAATTGAGAGAGGGGATTGTCTGGAATTGAGCAGTTTGCACTCCCGTAACACCCTTTAAAAATGTTCTTTTCTGCCTGAGAATATCCATCAGCATCAGCTGCCATCTGCCCAAGCTCCTCTATTTCAGCTCAGAGGGCCTATGATCCCGCTGTAGTTGTCAGCCAAACTCCAGCTGTAAAAACACAAGCTGGCTCTTATTGCTGGATGCAAAATATTTCTTCACCATATACAGATTATGTCCTGCATCCCCTTAAAGCATTCATCTGCAACAGGAACACTGTTTGGCACAACTCTGTGCCCTGGGAAATGTTTGAATCTATTTTCTTTTATTTATTTTCATGGTATTTCAGTTATTTTGCAGCTAATCCTTCCTCCTTGAGTGTTGTACATTTAAAAAAGTGGCAGAACAAAACAGGAACATCATCCAAAAGCTGCAATAAACTGAGACTTATGTAACTAGAGGTAAGGACTCTGTGTTAGCAGTAGTAATTAACCTGTTGCCTTTCTGCGTTCCACCCAAAGCCTTCCAAGTTGTTAGAAATGTTGGTGACAAAGTGACACAACAACCCCTTGAAGTTGCAGTAGACCACAGGGAAATCAAGCTCTGAAATGGACCCCATGTAAGAGGAAGTCCCACTTAATTACAATGTCATGCTGCTTTCATTACTCACTCGGAGATGGCTGAAGAAAAGCAGACGGCATAGCAAACGTACCAGCTTAATGTGCTCTCGTTTCTGGTACTTCTCACTGTAATATTGCTCCTGGCGGAGATTTAGCAGCTGCTGTTGTTGCTTCTCCTTCAACTCCACCAGCTTCTGGGTCATTTCAGAGTCGAGCGCAGCTAATTCCTGTTCAATAGTTGAAGAACTGTGGTCTGGGCTGCCCGTTTCAGATCTGCCAAGACACACACACGCCGTCAACTTCTAAGTCACTAGGCACGCGCGCTCTGCCCCCTATATAAACCAAGATTTTAAGGCAGCTGGTGATATATCGCCCATTAAGATGTTTCTCAGCACCACATAAAAGGCTAGAAGATGATAAGTCCAATAATTTCATCTTTAAGGAAAAAACTAGTGTTAACAGTTTATTGATGGGAGGGCCACTAGAGCAACCTGGTCTAGTGGAAGGTGTCCCTGCTCATGGTAGGGGGGTTGGAACTAGATGATCTTTAACGTCCCTTCCAACCCTAACCATACTATGATTCTGTGATTCTATGATTTTAAACCTCATTTTACTAACCCGTCACGGTGGCGTGAAGCAGACAGTGCAAGCGAGCTATAAACGCAACTGCCAAGATTCCCCATAAACAGATGCCCGCGGAACTTGTTTATCCACCTCCAGACATGAAACTTGAATTTCAAAGCTGCAAAATCCTCAGCAGAAATGCAGAATGCTTAGTGTTTGGAAAACCGAGTCATTCTTGTATACACTTAGCAATTAAGAGTGTAACTGCATTTAGAAAATGCTTTAAACGGTAGGAACGTCCCTTTATTTGGTATTTTCTCCCCCCTTCAGGAAATATCGTGCATAGCACACACTGAGGGAAGTGCCTATAGACTTCTGAGTTGAGGAGAAAAGCTAACACTGGAGGAGGAGGAGTAAACCTCAGAATAGTAGCAATAGGAGCAAAGGCAAGATACAATGGGGAAGCTAAAAAGCAACACGAAGGAACAGTTTTGTTTGGTTGTTGGTTTTTTTATTCCCTTTCTTAAGACAGAAGGAAGGATAGATGTAACCGTGAAAGGAGACATGACAATACTACAGTGTTGGAAATAATAAGGAAAAAATGAGCAGCAAAAGCAGTACCATTCTCAGGCCAACAGTAAACTTAACCAAATACAAACATTAAAAAAAAAAAAAAAAAAGAGACCTGTGTCCCTGCTCTGCTGCTGTGTTTACTGCTGTACTCAGGTGTTAAATCGGTTGCCTGGGAAACCTCAGGAACAGCGCCCGAGATGGACAAAACAGCAAAACCTTGAACAGAGAGGGCCAACACTATGAGAAAAATGAGTTTGCTACTCAGAAATTCGGAGAGATTACAAAGCGGGTAACTTGCTACACTGGCTGCCTCTCTTTTTCTCTCCCAGGTTCAAGTCTGCAGCTGCTGTCCATTAGAGTAACTTCAACTGAAATAATGCCAAGCTGCTTTCATCCAGTCTGAGACTACGAACCAGGGTAGCCTCTTCTTATTTTTTGCATTTTTATTGTATTTGAATATTCTGCTAAGAGGTTAAGCGGTGTCACTGAGGATAATTTAAACAGAGTTCCAGAAGACAGCATTAATGAATATTAAAGTCAGCATGTTATGCCATTACACTCCACATTTTAAAGGTAACATTTCTCTTGTATTTTTGGGAAAAGGAAACAAGGCATATTTCTAAACGCTGGCTAAAATACTACGACTGTGTTTTAAGGGACATGATAATTAAAGGAACTTTGGAACAACATCAGCAAAACACTGGAGCATGTGTATCAATAAATACTTCAAGCTTCCTGTAGGCTTTACTGAGTCTTGGCATAATTTTAGACCAGGGCATGAAACACAGATCGCTTCTGACCAGAGATAACACATCTGCATGGCAATCTGATACAGGGACTCCTGAAGTAGTGATTTATACTCTGCAGTTACAGGCAAATAGCTATGGTAATAATTTAAAGTGATAAATATCACCTTTTTCCTTGCGATGCAGTATTCTCTTAGAAGTCTTCTGCTTGACATAATGTGTACTTGCAAGTTTAAAAAACCCTAAAAATAAATATATTCCTGCCTTTTTAAAATTCAACCTCAGATTTCTTAAGCTTCAGATTTCTTCGTCTCTGCACATAAAACCTAACATCTCTGAAATCACAGTGACAGGTCCACGTCACAGGACTGCAGGGTTTTATTGCCTGGTATCATGAATGATTTATGGTCAGATCATAACGAAATAAAAAACCCAATCATTTTTACTCAAAGATAAATGAGTCATTTTATTTATTCAGTTTGTTTTTCTCCTTAAATTTGAATAGAATACGCTAGAGAAAAGAAACATGACATTGTTTCATCTGCCACTGTCACACGCATTAAAACAACAGTGTGTGTGCAGTTGACAACCTTTGACAATTAAGGGAGTTTGTTAAACTCAAGTGTAGAACCCTGGAAAATGGCAACAGTTGAGGACAGCTGAACACAGATATATGATGAGTGTTAAGCTCTGATTAAGCTCAATGACATTCTGTCACCAGGAAGGCATAAATGCAAAAGCTCTTTCCTAGGGACAAGTTATGGCCCGAATCCCAGGCACTTAGAGTGAGAGGTATTATCAACAAAGTTAGTGGCCAGAGCATGCTTGCAGCCTTTTTCCTCTGATGACTTCCTACCAAAGACTATCAAGCAATTTTTTTAATGTTCTTTAAGTGTTGTCACATTTAAGCACTGCAGCTATATCAATTCTATGTAAAAGTTAAAGGACTTCCGTGCTTATGTAATTACTTAAAAAATAAATTAAGTTAAAATAAGAATGCTGCACTAATGAGAGAAATAGAAATATAGGAGGGTACCCCTACCTGATTATCATTCAGTTATAACAGTATCAGACACTGATTGTACCTCTGTGTGTATGTTTTGCTAGGAGTTAAGAACTGATTTTTATTGCGATGTAGTTGCTTAGCTTAGGAACAAGACATTAATTGTGGAAGTATTAATGACTCATAACAGTCTTTGCATTCCAAACTGATAATAAAACCAACTTTCCTTTTTCAGTTAGCTAAAAAAATAATATAAGAAATTATTGTATCAGCACATACACAGATAGGGTGATGCAAGATTTAGAAAGAGACACAGCACAGAAGGGATGCGCCTGCAGAGGTAAAACCAATCATTAAGCAAGTGGTTTGGATCAATCATAAATTTAAACACCAGTCAGATGTCAATAACTTCCAGGTGTTTCTTTCACCTCATTATATATCTGATGCCTTCGCCTCTAGCATGGATTTTTCCAGGGCTCTAACTTGGAGACAATGTTCTTCATCCCCAAATTCAGAATATCCCTTTTACCTGTCAGTAGCATAAAAGTGGACTACGTCTTGTACTTATTTTGACTTTTGCCCCATCTCACAGTTTGTGATTAAGATCCCTACCTAACCACTGGCTGCTGTTGCCCGTACTTTTTTTTAGGGAAAGTCCCAGGATAAATATTGTGTGCCCTCATTTTAAGGGAGAGAGGTTTAACATGGAGAGCAACTCCTCTGGCTTCTAGCAGCGAAGCAGCACATGGTGGAGAGGCCTTTTTCTGATGATTTCCACATCAAAGGCCCTGACTTCATTTTACCTACGTCTTGCTGATTTGAGTTTTTTCTGTGCCCTAATGCACTTCCATATTAATTCTTGACTATAAAAGAAGACTTGAGTAAAGATCTCCAATACCACAAACAGAAAAGTTATGTTCAATGTACCTTTTCTTACTGTCTCTTTTTGCTGTTTTTTCCAAAACAGCTCTTCGTCGCAGGTAGTCATTCTGGATTTCATTATACTTCGCAGTGTGCTCTTTGATAAGGTCGGTGGTTTTCTTGTGGTGCTTCTTCACAAGGTCCTTCATTTCCTTGTAGTGCTTCTTCTGAAGCTTAACAAAAGACTTCTGTTGTTTTAGTTCCTCAATAGTCTGTGCTTCCACTTCTACAATGAAAATAAAAAAAAAGCCACTTCAATTTTCTACGATTTCAATCAGCGAACCCTGAAA